AGGGAGGGGGCTTAGAAGGATTATTTTCTTCCAAGTAATACACTTCATTGAATAATGGTGATGGATTTGAAGAAAGCTGTTTATCGTGACAGTGGCAGCCTATTGCTGCTGCTGCATCTCAGTGAGGCTGTTGAAGTTAGGAGATGGACACTGCACTGTGCTGCCAGGGGTTGCACCAAATAGAGCTTGCAAACGTTTTGCAATATATCAGATGTATTAAGGTGAGGTGGAAAGAAATAACAGAAAACTGCTCAACACTTAAAATAATAAATCAGATATTTAGGTACTACTAATCTTACAGGAATACCTAATTCCAAAAATGCATTGAAGAAGTTGCAGCTGGCCTCAGCATGCAAAAATGAATATATATCTTTTTCCAGGATCAAGACCTCATCTTCTTTACAATTACAGTTTAGAGGCATATTGTATATGCTTAGATTAATAATACTCTAACATAGAGCAGACCATAGGGAAAATCAGATCTTTCAGTCAAGCCTTCAGTTCCTAAGGGCAGATGTTCCTATCTGGACATATTTAGCATATGGTCAGGAAAATAAGAGATCTGAAATGCCTTGGTATAATTTAGGTAATTCTGAGTCTTTTTTTTTTTAAAAGAAGGTTCCTTATTTTTAAACAGGCAACAAGATTTATGATTGTTAAATTATTCAAAAATGTTTTATGTATGTAAAAATACAGTAACACACATTTTATATATAAAATATATAGAACTTAGATCATTGTATATAATTTAGGGGAGATTTTTCAACACTGAAGAGTAAAAATAGAAATTAAAACAGTTGAACCACCTACCTCACCTTTAGGACTGAGAAAAAATATTTCTGCATCATTATATCAAATTGATCTCTATGAAGTCTAGTAAAGACTGTTCCATATTTACACACCTAGGACAATTAAGTAAATGAGAGTTGCATGACTGTAGGAATGTAACAGGAAATGTCTGGAGAAATGCAGATCATTAAAGAGAAGGTGAATAAATGCAATTTGACCTAACTAGTGATTTCAAGAAATTGGGTAAAGTAATTTCACCTTCAACCTCTGTAGCATCATCTCTCTTGTTTCTTGTAAACGGGGAGACTAAACTAAAACTATTGAAGTATATACTGAAGTATTGAAGTATACCTTTAGAGATTGTTTAAATCATCTTACTGTCGAGAGAGGCACGGTATTTTATTTCCTTCAGAACCTTTTGCAAATGATCTTTACTGCCGGTCCCACCTGCCAAAAATAATTAAAATACAGCAAACGTGAAATGCCCTCGGTAGCATTCCTCTGCCTTTGTTTTTTAAAGGTGAGGAGTAAGGTTCATACTTGGCATATCAACGTTTGCTGATTAAATAGGGATGATCTGAGAAATCTTCATTTGCTAATTGCAGGCACTAAGGGTCATTGATGGAGAGCCTTAAACATTTAAATGCTGAGAAAGGCAACAGCAGCACTGGATGCTCACCAGCATCTCCACATGTGTGCACGTGCCTGCACGTGTGCATCTGTGCATAGGAGGTCCAATGTGCTCCAGAGGTGGTCGGCTCCCTGAGCTGAGACATCTCTGTCAACTGAGGAGCTGATCCAGCTTACCTCTCTGTTCTGTCCCATCTCTGTTGTATTTGCAGCTAATGCAATTACCCCAGCCTAAAGTTGGGTGGGGAAGAGCAAAGGCAGGTAACTTGTATTTTTAAGGCAGACTAACCTCTTCTCATTAGACTCTCCCAAGCAGAGGAGCCTCTCCCTGTAGAGAAGTGTCACAACAGGTGTAACAAATGCAATGTGAATTATTTTATTTATATATGTATTATTTCTTTATCAGCACAAACTTGTTTTGTTGCATACCAAGACCTGCAAAACAATAAATACTAGCTTTTTTTAAATACCCCCCTTTTCTAGGTATCATATAAAAACAAGGATGGGGGCTGATTTGCAGAGAGAGGTGGATTTTCCATGCCAAATTATGAAAAATGTGCTCTCATCAAAGAAACTAGCAAACTGGTCCTGGCAGCTACCAGTGTTGGCACAGGGAAGCACCATGAGTGAGGAGAGTCTTGGAGGCACAGCTTCAAAGCTCTGAAGGTCTAAGTAGGTTCCCTTTAAATATTTGCCAAAGCCCCCCCATGCAGTAACCTGTAAGAGAAGAGAAATATTTAGATGAACTCCACCATGTGTCTTTACCATTTCCAATAGGAGGCAAAGGAAGGCTTTGATTTCCAGCAGAGGAATAATGCTGGTTTTGTCTATGCAGGCTCTACAGTGTGTAGGCTTGTGAATTCTGGCTTAGTGAGGCTGGGTAATGCTTCCAACAATTTTTCAGGCTTGATCCAGTGATTTATTCTATTCTTGATCTCTTGAACAAGCACACTCTTCTGAAATAAAACTTTCCAGGACCCTATATTAGGAGACACAGAACTAGAATTTCTCTTCTGGCTGTGTACTTTCTACAAATTGTCTCTGCCAAAGAGTAATTTTTTTGCAGAGGAGGTAATATGTGCCAGTTGCTTCAGACAACCTGGTTTCACCATGGCATTCTTAGCTGTTTCCAGCCTGGCAGGTGTCAGAGTTGAATCTCTTTTTTTCCCAACCTTACGGGGCACTGTGTCATGTTTTCAGTCAGCCTGTGTCTTCTGTGTAGGTTTGCATGGCCATTTGGGTTGTATGCATTGTAATTGCATATGCAATCTAGCTGTAGTTACAGGCTTGCATAAATTTTACACAGAAAGGCAGCGATTTGGGGACAGTTATGGCTTTTCTTTACATTTATAGTCAGAGTAATTTGCAGATGCATCTAACATCAGAGGACAAGTCAAGAGATATTGTGCACTCACGTATCTGATGAGCTGAGTTTGTGATAATTCAGCAACTGTTATTCAGAAGGCTGAGGAGTGTTGCACTTAGAAGAAGTGACACTTCATCAAGTTTGTCCGACAACAGAAGTCCAAAAGAGAAAAGGAAGCTGAAAAGAGAAGAAAGAAAAAAGCCAGGTGGCATTCATCCATCTAGACTTTCTTATAATCCACATACTCTCATACCCTGAGTGAGTGTTCATATATACCGGAATGGATATAGAAATAGAGAAAACTTTTCAGTAGCTAGCAGATACGATACAACAAACAGTAAAGCAAGGAAAAACCTACCCTTGCAAAGAGCTTTCTTTCTGGACATCGCAAACAGTATTAATCTGTTGTGTCTTCTGAAACTGAACCCTTGTGTTCATCTTTGCAACACATAGTGTGACCTTGTTTGATATGATCTTGTGTGTTGAGATGAAAAATCCCAAGACTTTGATAAAACAACATCATATTTAGCATCTAATTTTTACATGGACACAATAAAAAGCACTGTGAGAAATGGAAGTACAATTTTTCTGTTGGACAGGTTTTAGGAAAGCACCATGCTTCTTTAAAAATGCCACCTTTCAAATAGGGGTGATGAACAACAGTAAATTAGTATGAAACAAAGTGAGTTTTCTGCAATGAGGCAGAAGTGCATTGTGTGGAGGGAAGACATTATGCACTGAGAGATGGAAGGCATTTTTTCCTTTCACAGTGGGATATTTCTTGCCATTTGTAGGCTGCAGTTGTTTTTCAGAAAAAAGCAATATGGAAATGCATAGCTGCATTGTGCTATAAAGTACGTCTGAGCAAAGATTATTAAAAATGACAAGCACATTTCTGTATATTTGATAATGTCAAGAGCAGAAATATTGCCGCACATTGGTGTTATGAGATATCAGAATAATTCTCTTTTCTGCAAAATCTGTAGTGCCTAATGGAAGAATGTCATTTTGGGCTTGCTTGCAAGGGTAGTTACATCGTGACTCAATAAGGAACCTTAAACTTGCTTGACTTCAAGATCGTCATTCAATCCACTGCTATTCAAGACAGCCCTAGTAAAGGTGTACATTTAAATTTTTGCTTAAATGCTTTGCCAAATTTAAGCTTCAGAAATAAACCATTCTCCATCAAATAGTGTTCACTGCACCACACTTGTAATAGTATCATAGAATAGTTTGGGTTGGAAGGGACCTTTGAAGTTCGTCTAGTCCAAGCCCCTGCAGTGAGCAGAGACACCTTTAGCTGAATCAGTATACTGAGGTTGATGCCTTTTCAGATGGAAAGGCTTACTTAAAACGTGATTTTTCTTGAATGTGATTCTTTGGTGTGGCACAGCCAAACAGGCTGAGCTTGGCAATAATTGTGGCATGCTTGGAAAGGGGAGAATCAAACCAGAAGAGAAGGTAACTCTAGGAGTGGGTTTGAGGTAATGCTTCCTACTCTCCTGTCTTCCTCCTGCCCTAGTCACATGCCCTCAGCAAGGGGACTTTCTGTTGTTTGCTAATCCAATTTTTCTCTCATTGGAATCATTACTGACTGGCATCTAGAGTTCACATGACATACCCAAGTTGTCTGCTGGGGCTGGCTGTGAAATTCGACTGTGAAATGCCACATGGAATCTTTTCTTGTGCACATCTTGGCCACTGACACATTTGTATAGATATCTCCTTGCCAGGCTTCCCAGGTTCCTTTCTTCACCATTTCATTTCTTCTTTGAGACTGAGGCTGTTCTCTACACATAGCCTGTGCCAGCTGAGCTGATCTTACAGGAGATCCACATGATTCTTTGGATAGTGCCTTCAAGGTTAACTGTCAGGCTGACGCTACATTTGAAAATTAGTTTGGATTAGTATAGGGTATAGAGTTAAAATGCACTGTCTGTTTATAAATAACTCCATGTGTGGAGATTATCTGTATGACTGATTTTGTAAATTAATGCACACTGAGTGGCTGTATGAGCTGTATGGGTAAATTCAGTAAATATCTCTGTACATGTATAGTGTGTGTGTGTGCATAAATAGAAATTTTCTGTTTGCACCTATGTATTTGCAGTAATTTGTAACTACACATAAAATTCTTTGGTATTATCCTTGAATTAGGAGTAGCATTTACTGGGGCATACATACTTATTTTTTAATTCTCTTTGTTTTTTTCCAGCTCTTCTTTATGCAACTATTTTTGGAAATGTCACCACCATTTTCCAGCAAATGTATGCCAACACCAACCGATACCATGAGATGCTGAACAATGTGAGGGATTTCCTAAAATTATATCAAGTCCCAAAAGGCCTTAGTGAAAGAGTCATGGATTATATTGTCTCAACCTGGTCCATGTCTAAAGGAATTGACACAGAGAAGGTATGAGTACGTGAGGTAACAATTTAGATAGAGTTTGTGTGCTTGCTTAGAAACAGGACTGTATAACAGCATATAACTTACTAACAAATTCTTAACTGCATGCTACTCCGTTATTCTGTTTGTGTTTGGATCAAGAACTGGATGTTTTAAAAAAGGAATTTTTTGCTGCTTTGGAAATGTGCCTTTATTTTTCATTATGATAAATGTTTTCTGATTTCCAGTCTTTGCCTAAATACTAAATAATTTTAATGTACTTAACTATTGAAATCAACGGGAAATTCGTCTTCAATTTAGTCTGAGAACATAATTTGGTATCTAACCTACATCAGTATTATTCTGAAAGTATTGGCATCTGTGAGTTGCAATGAAACGAGTTTGATTGGCTTGGACCTTTTGCTGATGCCCAGGACATCGACATATCCATCAGCATAATTAGTATAGGATTTAATGGCAGTAGAGATTGATCTCCTTGAGCTAAAATCTCTCAGCTAGAACTTATGGCCTTTGGTAGAGAGATACAGAAAATGTGGCACTGCTGGTAGCCGTGCAGGGTAAGAGTCCTACAGGACTCAGAAAGGACTTCTTCAGAAAAGGACTGGTCATTTAGGTTTCTTCAAAAGCTGATTAAAGGAGAAGGTTGTCTTTGGAGAGTGATTTGTCATGTGCTAGAACAGACCAAGTGAATTGTCCTCAGGGCCTCTCTTTTTCCATGATATGTGCAGTGAGTCTGTCTAGCCTTGAATATCTTAGAGAGCTGAAGTCAGATGGGAGGTTTTCTACCTGCATTACTTTGAATGTAGGCAAGATGTAACAGTTTCAGGTCTGGATTTTTGGTCAGCGGAGACTGGTGATCTCTGGAGCTCCTGTGGCTTCTGTAGACCTGATACACATCAGCTGAAATTAGGCATTCAGGCACCGGTTTCCATCAAGATTTCCCTCCTAAGAACTTAAAAGTCAAGTGTCCAAGGAAGGATAAGGAAGCATCATGGCAGATTAGTATCTTAAAATGTCCAGTGCTTGCAGGGCTTTGAAGTTCTTGCTTCAGTTGAATCTATTGTGTAGTATGGGATGATGATGCAGCTTGTTCAGATATGCCAACATGAAGTCACTACACTGAAAAATTCAGTCTTAGATCATGCTGATGCAACAGCAGTTACCTTACTAATCATCTACTGTGAAATTTGGTTTACCATCACAAATGCAACTATTTTAAGTAACAAGGATTTTAATTTCTTTAATTCTTGTGCTTCGGTATGCCACATTCTTTAATATGTTAACTTCTTATACACTAATACCCTAACTTCCGAATGCTGATTCATACAGTGTTAAAAGTGAGCTTTTATTTGTAAAGTACTGTAAATGCATTTAGTCCTATTGTGTAAACTCAATACCATGTGAAAATTCAACTTTCATTTGCATTTATCTCCTTGCAGTTAAACCAGAATCCTGTATTATTCTGCTAAAGTTTCATTAGATTTTAACGATGCTTTGCAGTTAATTAGGAGAACCTATGCTTTAATTACTGAAATTTCCTTCCATAGTTTCCGCATGTCCGGTTTTATAGATTATAAAAATGCAGTTAGAGCCATAATCTTCGACTCATGGTAAGCGGTGTTCTCTGCTCTGTAAGACAGTAGTGTCTGCTTAGCCAGATAATTAATATGGCTGTAAAATCTGTGACTTAGGTTTTTAACAATTTTCCCTTGGCAAAGACTTGCCTAAACTTAGGGTTGGATCCAAAACCTATTTAAAACAGTGGAAGGATTTCAGGAACCTCTGCATCTGGACATCAGTAGTTGCATCTAATCGAACTTCCCAGAAAAGCCCATGTTACAGAAGAAGAGAGACAAGATAAACGTAAGAACTTGAGCACCGGTTTGAATATTTTGGTGTTTTGTATCCCTTACAGCCTGCAAGTCTGCAAAAGCAACAGCACCAGCAGCCTATAGTGCCTGCACTGAGCATCCCTGGGTTGTACAAGTGTAAGGATCAGGCAGTTTGCTTGCAGCTACAGAACCTTAGCCAAAGTCAGGATTTGTTTTAGCAAAAGGGTGGAAAGCTGTGTCATAGCCAGGCAGCCTTCCTACCTTTATTTCCACTCAGGAAGGTTTTGTGATGTACTTCACCAAAACAAATGAGAAAATGTTGTAAATCTTAGCTGAAAAATGATAGGAACAGTGGTACAGTCCCAGAGACTAGTCATGTAGGGTGGATTGTTTCTGTTGCATTAGCTCCTTCATTACCCCTTCAAGCCCTGTTGTGAGACCCTCTGCATTTAAATTGAATCTATCTGTACTAAACCTAGAGCAGCAGGTGGATGGGAGCACACTGTAGGGACCTCCAGGGTACACAGAGTCAAGTGAGATTTATTACCATAGACACAGTGGGGCTGATGCGAGTACATTGCACGTGCAGCTGAGCTGCTGAATGCAGGTAGTGCTCCAGTGTAGGTTGGAATAGGGGATTACTACCCCAGGTAGGAGATTACTACCCCAGATCTTGAATTGCTTCTCTGCACTGCTTTGTGTGACAGCCTGGACGTGACCTTAGGGTTTTCTTCCAGTCTAGTTTTCAAAGCTCCAATAAGGCCATTCTGACCAGGGTGTTGTCTGGATATCTTTGCATCACATGATTTCCCATTGTCCTTAATTTTTATGAACGTTTCAGTAAGCTTCTTAGTATCTCACAAAACACATGTGCTCATGACACATGATAATTAGTGAGGAATTTCTCAACTTTTCAGTTTCCATCATTCAACTCAGACAGTTTCCATCATCCAGGGATGTTTTTCAACCTAATGTACAGTATTACATCCTGAACTGTTCCAAATACATCTGCATTGTCACACTGGAATGTGTTTTGCAACATCATTTGCTGCAAATTTATAATACATTTCATTCAGTCACTCAGCATGTTGAAATGGCTTTGTTTTGAAATCCAGATTCAAAAAACAAGAAGGTTGATGTACTAACAAGGGATGAAATTTCTTATAAGAGTGTTACAGTAGGTTCCTATGGCGATGAACAATCCTAGGAATTTGGGGAAGTAAAAATAAACACATGTGCACATTTCTTTGATAACTAAGACTCTAAATTAATATGCTTGAAATTAATGTTAATAACTTGATTGGAATTACTACCACTCAATGTGTAGATGTGTTGTGTCAGATCTCAAGTTTTGGTCCTTGAATGATGCATTCAGTGTGTAGTCCCAGAGAAGATCTTGGCTAAAACTGGTAAGGGTGAGTCCTTAGATGGGAACTGAAGGCAAAGTGGAAGTTAGCATGGAGAACGTTAAATGGAGAGCTAGTCATTGCTGCTTGTGAGAGCAAGCTGTCCCAAACAGAACTTTGTCTTAAAGTAGCAGTCTGTTATCCTTGTATGTGGAAGAAGACTTGTACTGCCACACTGAAGTGATGGTGCCTTAAGCACACAATTTTGGCTTCCCTGTTCTCCTTGGGAATAGCTCATTGTCAAATCCTGTCTTCAAACCACAACGCTTCAGCCTGTCTCTGAGTGTTCACAAATAACGAATTAACAATGACACTAAAAGCATTAGCATATTTATTATTATTACTTAAGGGGAAGCAAGTGGCCTCTGATCCATAATCTTAAATCACTTAAACATGAGAGCCCTCCTCTGACAGCTGGGATGATATATGTAATAACATGCACATGGACTCATCTCCTGGTGTAACAGTGGCTCAAACAAGATGGAATTTTTTTTTTTAATGTTTAATGCTACAGGCTTTGGGGTTATTTGTCTAATAAAAAGCAGAGCTAAAAACATGACAAAACTAAGAAGCCTTTATATACTAAACTATCTCTCATCCAGCAGAACCTGTTTTTTTGAGAGAGGTAAAAAAGAGGCAGTACATTCTCTGCATATGACCATTTTTAAGCAGCTGAAAAAAAATCTTTGCAGTAATAATTTGATAGATGAAACACACACTGAATTCAAATCTCTGAGTTTTTATTGAAATCTCTAGGCAGCAAATGAAAAATTTATAGATATTAGCTCTTCTATAAGAAATAGGTCATTATACATGAAAGCAGAACAACCATTAACTAATATGCAGATGTCTCAAGGTCTCATCTAATGATAACGTTCTGAAATGTCAGTAAAACCCAAAGATTTTCTCTTCTTGACCTCTATGCTGTTGTATGGCTTAGGATTTACTCAGAAAGCAATTAAATAAATGTCTATCATGTTTTAACAGTCAATTCCTTCAGAAAAACCATAGATTGAAAGAGAAAAAAGGCATCTAGTCTCAACCTAAGCATCAATGGCAATTGAAATAATGAGAGCCAATTCTGCATTGCAATGACTGAAATGGAAATCATGGGAAAATAACACAGTATTGAAAATATTCATTGCTAGCCCACTAAGCTTTCATACAGGAGAGGTGGGTTTATGGTAAATAGACATAGGTTGTAACTTTATTAAACAGTAGTCTACAAAAGGACAGTGCAGGTTAGTCATATTTGCTGTTAACAAGATCTTCAAGAGCTGTAGTAATAATTAGATGTACCCTGAGGTGAATAGGGGAATCAGACTGCCATTCCTAAGGTGTCCCATTGCATAGAGGTGTCTGTAAGTGCTGGCTGGATTTCCTCATGGATGACCAGGGTAGAAGGCTTCCAAGCTTCGTGGCCAAAGAGAACTTCTACAAAATTAGGTGTGACAGCTACATACAATTCCCTGCTGAAGAGGGAAGGTAAAAATCGTTTGGACAAGTATTTTTGTTTCGTTGTAGAGGCGGGGTTGTTGGTCGTTCCTTGCAGATCGGGACGAGGTGAACAAGAAGTCTTCCCTCACCTCACAGAGCTGAGCTAGGACCAGGTACAGTTGCAATCCACGGTTCTTTGGAGAGCGGGATGCAGGAGAGACGGTCAGGGTCTCACTGTCCTTCACATGGGTCCACGAGCAGGGCCTGTGCACCAGTGGGGCTTTCTGTTTCACCTTTGTGGATGGTATGGATTATTTACCTCCTGTATGCA